TTAGCGAAACGATGTTAAGCGAATCAATTTCCCCATAAGAATTAATGTAAATAGGAAGGGTTAGGTTCTAGGGAAATTTTTTTGTATATTTTTGTGTGTATATAACTTTAAACAATTTAATACTGTACACAGCAATGATGATTGTGAAGCTTGGTTGAGGCGGTGGAGTCAGAAGGTGGGATATTTCTCAGGGAATGCCTTAGTGCTAAATGATGAACTAGCACTCAGCTGAGCCCACAAGGATTAACACATTATTGTTAAATGTATCCTTACACTCTGCAAGGCAGCACGCATGGAGGGAGTAGACACAGGATGGCAGAGAGAGAGAGACCCCGACCGTGTGTGTGAGAAAGACAGACAGGCATTGCACCCTTAAGTACACTGACCCCACTCTAAATACACTGCCTTTTTAAGGAGATCAGCAAGTTGAGTCAGCAGCTGCTGCCAGCAAGCTCCCTCCATCCTGAGCCCTGTCATGTCCCTCCCTGCTCTGTGGAGATGGGGTACAGGAGCAGGGGGACAGGAGCGGGGGAGGGGGACACCCTGACATTAGCACCCCTCTTCACCACCCCCCACTAACCAAGAGGAAGGCTCCCAGAGCAGCTCCAAGGCAGAGGGCAGGAGCAGCACACGGCAGCGGAGGGAGGGACAGCTGAACTGCCCAGTAAGTGATAGCCTGCCTGGCGGCTGCCGCACACAGAACTTAGGGGAGCTGATGGGGAACTGCCAGCCCACCCTGGTTGCAAGCCCCCACCAGCTAGCTCCAAAGGGCTGCTCTTCCTGTAAGCAGTGGACAAAGCAGACGGTTGCCAAACAATGTTATAAAGAAGCACTGCGCAACTTTAAACGATCATGTTCTCTAATTGATCAGCAATGTAACAATGAAACAACGTTAACTGGAACGACGTTAAGTGAGGAGTTACTGGACTGGACTCTGATTCATAGCTATTCCAATATAATGAGAGAGTATTGCTTCTGAAGTGTCTAGAAGAGAAATCAGAGGTGAGACAAGGTATACCACACTGTCAAATTGCTGAAAGAAAAGGTCTTATTTTGGACTGACCATTATGAGATGAGGGCAGTGGTTACAGATGTGCAACCACATTATGGTAGTTGATGGTATTTCCAGTATAAGCTAGAGCCAAAATCATGTAACTCAATATTCAGGTACTCTAACAGCTCTGACCCTTTGTATATCTAGTGTATCTGCAGTAGATTAAAAGGGTTTGTGGTCCGTGTTGAGATTGCTGGAGAAGTAGAGGGCTGATCATTAAAGCGCAATCAAAGATTATTTGTGGAACCTTAAAAAAAAAAAACTAAAATGTTCAAGTATTTAATCATATTTACAATCTAACTATTTTAGTTTCATATATGCAAATCACTACATATAATTACAAAGTAAATCACTAAAAATACACATCTTAAATACAGCAAGAGGTATAATTAATAGGAAAGGGACACTGACAGTTTGCATTAAAGTAGATCTAAAAGTATTGGTTTTACCCATAAAAACTCATTGAAAAACAAGTTTCAAAGTTCACGTAAGGGACAGTAGAGTCCTGTATTTTTTTTTTTTATTTACTTAACACTTTGTTGACTCTTGATTCAACAACAGACATTTACCATACCTTAACAAGAGCTCTGAAACATATTTATTTTCCATGCTTTCTAATGGGAAAGAATATTTTCAATGCTATTTTCCCCTTGATAAGAAGGGCTTTCCTGAGAAGCAACTGGCAAGGCTGCATTGTGTAGAACACTGCAGTGGCATTCACTACCACAAGCAGTGTAACTTGAAAGAGAGAATGGATAACAAATCCACCAATACTGCCATTCCCCCAACATCCTAAAGAAAAATAATCCTATAATTCAAGCATTGAACTAGGACTCAGAAATTCTGCCTTGATTCCCCATATTTAAAATTTAATAGTTTCATAAAATTTAAAACCAGAAGGGACCATTAGATTATCTAGCCTGATCTTGGGATAACACAGACTGCTAAATTTTACCCAGTTACCCCTACATTGAGCCAAATAACTTGGGTTAGACTAAAGCATTTCAGTCCTCAAAAGACTAAATTGTGTGCCACAAGCAGCGAACAGGAGAAACTAGGTGCCACCAACGCCTGAAGAACCTGCAATGTCATGGAGTTGATTAGGTGACATATGCCCAGATGACCCTAGCAAGCAACCCAAACACCATGCTATAAAGGAGTCAAAAAAACCCAAGGCCCCTGTCTATCTGACCTGGGAGAAAATTCTTTCCCAACTCTAAACCTAGCAATCAGTTTGGCCCTGAGCATGTGAGCAAGACACACCAGCCAAGCTTCTGAGAAAGAGGATTCACTGTATCACCTCGTACAACTGGTCTACCCTGTCCTTTGTTCTGTCACCAGCTGTGGCCAAGTTCTGATGCTGGGGGGGGGGGGGGGGGAAGGAAGAGAGAGAGACACAAGGAACAGAATATATCAAGTCCACTGTGCATTTGGGAAAAAATTCCTTCCTGACCCCTGGTGATGAATTGATTGATGCTGGAGACCTGATTATAGCCATTGTCATAACACAGAGCTGTTAACGTTTTCATAGTGAGGGCAATGCAGAACTTGATGTTCTCCCTATGGCCCATGAAAGAAGTTAATAAACAAAGAGATTCATAGATTCACATTCAAAGTCCAGAAGGGACCACCACAGCTAACCCAACCCTCCCACAGACACAGGCCAGAGAATTTCTCTCAGAAACTACAATAAAGCACGTGGATTAGAAAGATATCTAATCTCACTTTAAAGACTCCAAACAATGGTGACTCCACAACCTCCCATGTAAGCTATTCCAATTTTTAAATCACACTCACTGCTAGGAAATTGCATCTTATTTCAAGGCTGAATTTGCCCGACTTCAACTTCCAGCCACTGGATCTTATGATGTCTGTCAGCCAGGTTGAAAAGCTTCCCACTGTCAGATATCTTTTTTCCATATGTAAGTACCTATGCACAGCAACTAAGTCACCTCAACCTTCTCTGCCATAAACAGAATAGGTTTAGCTCCTAAAACTCTCAAAGGCTTGTTTTCTAGACTCTGGATCACTTTTGCAGCCGTCCTTTGAACTCTCACCACTATTTCCACATCTTTCTTGAAACATGGACACCAGAGCTGGACATATTCTAGCAGTAATCTTCCCAATACTGGGTTCAGAGACAAGGTAACTTCCCTACCTCAACTTAATATTCCCCTTTTTATACATCTGAGGATTGCATTAGCCATTTTTTTGACAGCACTGCATTGAAAGCTCATGCTGATGTAGACTTAAGTCCTTCCCTGAGTCTCTGCTTGCCAAAACACTCTCCCTTCTTGTAGGTACAGCCCGCATTCTTTGTTCCCAGGTGTGTACTTGGCATTTGACTATATTAAAATGCATTTTGTTAGACTGTGACCATTTAATCAAGTGATTGAGATCACTATCAGTAACCTGTCCTCATTATTTACTATCCCACCAATCCTTATCTACAAATTTTACCAGCAAAGATTTTATATTGTCTAGCTCTGATAAAAATATGGAATAGCGTTGAGCCATAAACTGATCCCTGATGGACCCTGCTAGAAACAGCCCCATGCACTGACATCTCACTATGAGCAACTATACTTTGAGTTCTGTAAGTGAGCTAGTTTTTAATCCAGCTAATGTGTACCCTGTAGTTCTATATAATGCAGGTTTTTTAGTCAAAATGTCATTTGGTACTTTGTCAAATGCCTTGGGGACTTCCAAATAAACTATATCAACATAGTTTATCAACCAGACCCATAATCTTGTCAAAAAAGACCACAAGTTTGTTTGTCAAGACTTACCTTTCATTAAACCATGTTGACTGGCATATTTTTAGCCTATAATTCTTTGTAGATACTATTTCATTGTTTTGTCAGGGATCTATAGTTCCCTAAGGGGTCATCCCTTTTAAAATGAGGATACTACTACTTCCCTACCTCTGAGGGCTGTTTAAGGCTGAATTCATTAGTGTATCTGAAGTGCTCATATACTACGGTGATGAATGCCTCAGTAAATCCTATTAAAAACAAGATAGCTACACAAACTGGGATACAGGAGCCACCCCAGAACACAGATTCTTAGCACACAACAGGTGCAAAGCCTCTGAATGGGTTCCCAAAATCTTGCTCATCCATCCCCTTTTGACACCAGAATTTGACCAGTCACACTAAATCTGAATCTCTTACAGCCACAGATGTGGGGGCAGGATTTGGCCCTTGATTAATGTACTGAAAAAAAGACAGGCATTTCTAAAAATGCTTGGAACATTCTTTTACATCCCATTTAGTAGCAAAGATTTAATAAAGACATAAATACTCACTTCAGATTTCCTTTAATGATACTATTCAGTAAGAGCTCAGAATTGATAATGCACTGAACAACATTACAAGCAGATGTGAAGGTGGTAAATCACCACCGCGTCTTTTCGATCTCTAATTTCTGTGTTGCAGAACCTATTTGTAAATATGCATGAAAACTATTCTCTGAAACATGCATCAGTGTAAGTAGCTTGACCTTTGGAATCCCTGACAACTTTGGAAGTCCCTGACTTTCTACGCCTGAAAATGGGTTGGTGAACTCTCAATAGCAGCTTCCAATGACTGTTCATCTTCTAAAATGCATATGTAATTTACTCTTTATCCTAATGAATCTCATGATTATAATCTTTTGTATTACAATACAGTTTCTTCCTTCAGTCAGAAATTTGTATTTTTAAATAGAGCTAATAAAATATACAGTAAACTGATTATGTTTTCTGAATTCAACCTAAAGTGGACAACTACAGCACATTATACTTTACTGTAAAATAAATATTAGCTTCTGATGCAGTCTCAGTCAGCTATTGTGTTAAAACAGTTGCTCTTTTTGCTAGCAGGTAATATGATCTTTATATTATTTCAGTTTACAGTACCGTTTTCCTTTAAGTAAAAAATTAAAAAAGAAAAAAAATGCAACTTACCCCCATTATCTGTTCTCTTTAAAGCACCATCCTTATGAGGGCATAATTCACATCTCTAGGGAAAAGCAAAAACAAAACAAAGAATTGGAATGATCATAGAACATTATAAGAGAAACCATATAGATTATACAAAAGTATCATTGTAATTGTCTTCTATAATTGACAGATTAGAGTTTGAGAAGCAAGCGGATACACATTTCCATTAATCTAAACAATGCTAAGGATGTATTCATAATACAGAGCTCTTAGGGAATGAAGTTGCTAATTTCTGATATGTTTCAAACCACGGCACTGTACTCACTTAAATAGGAAACAAGTTACTTGTAATTCTACTTCTCTCCAGATAGCTTTCAGAATTCTCATTTCTGGATCTTCACTCCCTAGAAAGACAGACCTCCAAGGATTTGGGAGGGAGGGACTAATCCCAAAGGAACCAGGATGTAACCCAAGATTGTGAGAGAGATATTTGCTTCCACCAGAATCTCGGGGTCCACTGAAGTCATGAATACAGCTGCAGACATAAGACTCAATATTCATAGCATGGTCCTAGCAGTCACTGCTGCCTCTTGCTTCTCCCTCCAGATACAACTGACGATGTCTTGCATCCTGTTCCAGGACAGCAGGCTTTGAGTGGAGATATACTTGGCAACATCAGTAGAGAATGGCCAATTCACCTGTGTCCCAGAGACAACAATATTCTTCCTGACCATCAGCTTGCTCTCATTCAGATGGCTAATCATAGTGAGGTGATGGAGGAGCCTACAACACTGACAGTTCCTCTGCAGCAGGGTGTCAAACTCATTTAATGAAGAGTGAAAAATTCCATTCTTAATTAATTTTTTTCATTCTATAGCAAAACTCCCACTGGCAACAATGGGAGGCTTGCACAAATATCAAAGGTAGAATTTGGCTTTAGGTAGTAACTAAAACTTTTACATTACTTATTATTTGTTCAGTACACCGTTGTCATTCAGCACCATGCCAAGGGGTGGGGGTCGCCTTTAGAACCACTGATAGTTTTGCCCTTTGTTTTTCCTCCATCCCCATCCTCTCCCGTCCATATCTTCTCCTTTCTTCTCTCAGCATTTCCTTCCCTACAGCACCTTGCAAATTCCACAGGCTTCACTCTCACCCTTCCCTCATGGCTTCTGCTAAAATGCTCAGCAGTTAAATAATTAATGCTTACATGAAGGTGTCATCATGTGGCTTTAGAATTGGTTAGTAAAAAGATGGTTTCAACACCTGTCAGTCATTTTTTTAAGGCTGCCTGCAGACTCAGGCAGACAACACTTCATCAGTTGCACTCAGTTCACATTTTTGAAGGGTTTATTTGCAATCGGAAGTGCTATTTTTTTTTAATTAAAACAAATTCTGCAGAATCTGTATAGGTCATGTAGACCACATAAATACACTTATGGGTGGTATGTTTGACAGACACCTGCCCTCCAGGCATCAAACACTAGCTGCACTAAGGCCCCTCAAAGTGGGAGTACACTGGGGTCAAAACCAATCCTCAACACACTAAAGGAGCTAATTCCACAGCGTGTGGGCAATCTTGGCACAATAAGCACTCTGACTGTGCAAACAGCTCTGAAAAATCTTGACACAAGCCCAAGTTAGCACTGAAAGTAATTACTACAGCTTCAGAGATTAACAGGCTTGGCCTGCCTAGATCCCCAAATGTACATTACCACTGAAGTCTCTCAGAACAGTTTCCCAATCCTAAATACATATGCAGAAGGGATACAAAAGAGGCTTCAAGTGCTAACGTGCATAAAGTTATTAAAAGCTTCAGCCCTGGCAAGTCAGAGAGCAGCTTGCTTTCTCTCTGTGCCCCCTGGTATTGCTTAATACTACTAGCACTGACTTCAAGCATCAGTATCTGTACATGGCAAAACCATTGGCAGGAACGACACAGGATGCTTCAGTGGAGGTGGTGAAGCTACATCAGTGGACATAGGGCAGAAAACTGATGTCTGCACTACTTGCATCAGTGCATACCCAAATCCCTCCAGAGGTGAGGCCAACTCAGGCTTTCCTCTTTCAAAGCACTCTGGTCTGATCTGAAGCTGAGATCAATGGAATCTCTAGAGTAAAGCTGCCTCAAGGAACAGTTGAAAGCATTCCCTAGGACACCTGTGTATTTGAGACAGTATCTGCCCCAAACACTCCTTTCACAGAACACATGGAAGAAAATGCAACACATGCCTTTTCATAATAGGCACGCCTCTGGAGTTAAGGATGCATATGTTGTCACCCTGAAAGGACATAAAAAACCCTAATACACACACAAAGCAAGTAAATGACATTCACAGAACTCTGAAGTATCAATGAAAAGAGCTGAAACCCTCAGTGCCTGAAACAGACCTGAATCACAAAAACGTAGGTTACTTACTTGTCACTGCGGTTCTTCAGGAGGTGTAGTCCACAACTGTTTTCCACATGTGGGTATGCACCATGCACCTGAGACTGGAAAATCTTGCAACTAGCGTCCATTGGTCCATGCCTGCACCCTGGCTCTCCTCACATGCAGCACTGAGGGTATAAAGGGAGTTGTGGACTGACCATCTCTCCAGTTCCTTCCCTGCCACAAATCCAGTCATGATCCAAAGCAGAGGGGAAGGAAGACGGGAAGCAGAATACAGATAGGGACCACACATCTCAAAACTCCCAGTTACAGGTAAGTAACCTCCATTTCTTCTTCAAGTGCTGGTCCCTATGTGTTTTCCATGTTGGTGACTGGCAAGCAGTACTCAAATCGGGGAGAGGGAGAGTGAGGATGCAGTCAGCATACACGTCTAACACTGCAATTCCAAAGGCTGCATCAGCAGATGAGGCTTGGACCAAAGCGTAATGCTTTGTGAACTTGTGGAAGGAACTCTAGGTTGCTGCCTTATAAATGGCCAGCATAAGGCACTTCTCAAAGAGATGCTACTGAGTTCACCTGTGCCCTAGTGAAATGGGCCCTCACCCCACCTGGGGGAGGGAAAAGTGCCAATTGATAGCAAAGGAGAATACAGGAAGAAATCCACTTTGGGAATATGAGCAGATACTGCTAATCCCCATGCTCACTCTGCAATAGCAACTAATAGAATAGGTGATTTTCTAAATGGTTTCATTCTTTGCAGGTAGAACGCCAATGCTCGTCTGAAATCAAGAGGATGAAGTCTCCTTTCCTTGCTAGAGGCATGAGGCTTTGGGAAGAATACCAGTAACTGAATCGATTGGTTTATGTGGAACTCAGAAACTACCTTTGGGATGAATTTCGGAAGGAGGAGAAGGGATACCTTCTCTTTTGAAGCAAAACGTGCAGCAAGTCAGCCATGTGGGCCCTCCGGCTCACCTACCCTTCTGGCCAACATAATAGTGACTAGGAAGGAGACCTTCATAGAGAGGTGGAACACTGAGCACATGGCCATCAGTCTGAAAGGTGGCCCAGTAAGTGCTGCAGTATAAGTACATTGGCTTCGTTAGTAGTGGGAAGACCCTAGTCAGACCCTTTAGGAATCTGGCTGCTACCAGGGAGGCTTAGGCAGACCTAAATCCTTGGGACCTGCACATCAACACTCACTCAACTTGGAAGGAGTCAGGGAGGAATTCCTTCTCCTGGAAGCAGGTTTAGAGGTGGATCTGTTTTTTATGTCTGTGACAGTGCACCTTACTCTCATAAGAAGCCTGAGAAAATGGGTCATTAGATTTATCTGAGCTGGACTCTGCTTCTGAGCTCGTGCTTAGAATCGTTCTGCTTGAGGACTAAGGCCAATGTACAGGGGAGTCTCCCAGGCCTGCATCTGACTCGGGTCTCATGGTTTTCTCCATGAGATGCTTCCTCAGGTGGAGCTCTTATTCCTCTCAGGTCCAGGGTGGAAAGAAACAACCGACACTGCACTTGCCAGACATATGCACCTCTCTTAGGCAGTAAGGGCAGCAATGGTGGTCATTGCTGAGCATGGAGGAGCAAGGACAGGAGACTGTTTTTTAAATCCCAGAATTCTGACAAAAGTCCTACTCCCAAAAGGAAGGACAAAGAGATTCTCCCAGTGTGGGGAAAATTATGCTACACTAACTACATAATATACTATAAAAACAGTAACAAACTATATGCAATTATATTTACTGAGATTAAGATGATGCGAGGATAACTCCAGAAATAAAGATTCCAACTCAGGCCACGTGGCGGTAACAAGGAACTGGAGAGGCAGTCAGTGTGCACTTCCCCTTATACCCTGGGTGCTGAACATAAGAAGATGCAGGGCGCAGGTGCAAACCACTGGATACTACTGGCAAAATTTTCCAGTATCAGGTGCATAGTGAGAATAAGTATCCACGTGTGGAATACTGATAGGAACAAGCATTCGAAACAGGGCCGGCTCCAGGCACCAGCTTACCAAGCAGGTGCTTGGGGCGGCCACTTCGGAGAGGGGCGGCACGTCCAGCTGTTCGGCGGCAATTCGGCGGACGGCCCTCACTCCTGCTCGGAGCGAAGGACTTTCCGCCGAATTGCCGCCCCAGATCGCGACCGCGGCTTTTTTGTTTGTTTGTTTGTTTGGCTGCTTGGGGCGGCCAAAACCCTGGAGCCAGCCCTGATTCGAAAACCCACTAATGTTCCTCAGAGAAATCTGGAAACCAGAGATGGGCCAGAGGTGCCCAAAAGGCCACAGGAACATCAAAATAAACAGGACTAGACTGACAGGAAAACGGGGGAAATATCAAAAAAGGGTCCCCAAAACAGAGCAGGTAAAAGAGATGGCTCCTGAGGGATGCTCTTTCAGTGGCAGAGCTTCGGCTCGTTTTGCAAGCAAATGAAGGCTGTGAGAGGATATGATTGCTTTCTATGAAATATGTCAGGGGGGTAAACAGCAGGGAGGACTAAAAATTATTTAAGATGAAAGCTATTGTTAGCACAAAAACAAATGGATATAACTGGCCATGAACAAATTTCAGACTGCAAATAAGAAGGTTTTTAACCAGCAGAGGAGTGAGGTTCTAGAACAGCCTCCCAAAAGGAGTTGTGGGGGCAAACTTAGTTAGTTTTAAAATATCACTTGATAAATT